AATTTCGAAAACAATTCCAACCAAAAGTAGAATAAGGGAAGAATTTTTTTACCAAAAGTAGAATAAGGGAAAAAAAAATCAAAAGGAAAGAATTTTTTACCATTACATGATGGAAATTGGAAAGTTCGAAATTGCAATTTATAGCCGTCTTTCGTTTTCGATATTATTATTACCTCGCTAGGACAAAAATTAACACTAACTTACAGACCAAGTAAAATGTACCATCCTTCTATGTCCTTTCCGTGTTCTTGACTTTATTTCCCTTTCATGGGGACCGAGTCATTTTCTCTCTCTTTCTCCATTTTACACAATTTTTGTATATTTTGTTGTATATATATAGTAATGTATAGCTGTGATGGCTATTTTTTATCCGTGTAGTTATTGTAGTCGAAGCCAAAAAAGCGTTGACGAGAGAAAAACGTCGGTGGGATTATGGAGGAGAAGCCGCCGGAGCTGATCGGAGTATGGAAGAGGGTGGTGGTGGTTGGCGGCGGCGTAGCCGGCTCCCTCATTGCTAAGTCTCTTCAGTTTCACGCTGATGTCACCCTCATTGACCCGTAAGTTTTCTTTCTTTTTTCTCCCATGTCCTTGTAATTTCTGGATTGATTATCTAGTGTTTGAATAAATGCCTCAAACAAAGTTTAGAAGCCCCTATTTTGCTCTGTTTTCATCTCTTTGTCATCATTTCCGACCGTTAAGGCCAAATATCAGTAGAATTTGTTTGGTTTTATTAGAAATCGTGGACAGATGAAATTTTGATACATACACACAACATAATTTTCTTACATTGTCATGCAAATTTTATTCTGATGATTATTGCAATAGATGAAGATCAGATCCAGGCCGTGCTAACTCCAGCAGCACATAGAATAATTTTTATTTTTATTTTTGTTTTGTTTTACCTAGTAATAATAACTCGGAAAATCTACATTTAAATAGGAAAGACTACTTTGAGATTCCGTGGGCTAGCTCAAGATCGATTGTGGAGCCATCTTTTGCTGAAAGATCCATTATTTACCACAAAGATTACCTCACAAACGGTCGTCTTGTTGTGTCCAAGGCCATAAACGTCTCGAGTTCTCAAGTATTGACCTCAGATGGTCGTCAGATAATTTACGATTATCTCGTTATTGCCACTGGTCACAATGATACATTCCCCAAGACTAAACCCGAAAGACTCAAAGAATACCGAGCAGGTAACATTACATAGCTGCCAAAATCAAGTCGAAACTACTTTCTTTGAATCATATTATATTTAATCCTCATTGTCGGCGAAATTCATGAATCATTATTAAATCAACAATTTCATGTTTGTGTTAGCCAGTAGGGAGTGGTTGCAAAAACTTCTGCACTTTTAGAGAAAGTATTTCTGTCAGTGGAAGCAAAATGTAGTTGACAATGAGAAGATGGCATCATTTTCATATCAGAAGCTAAAAGCCAAATAAGTTAAATAACAGTTGGTGAAAAAATTTTATATTTCTAAGAAAAATCATTCGAAAAGAAAAGAAGAAAGTTATCTAGAGTGTTCTTTTCTCCAACCAACATTTAGATTCCCTATTAAATTTATACAATCAGAAGAAGTCAAGTTCTTAATGCATATAAATTTCTTCTATTCATGCAGAACATGATGAGATAAAATCCGCTAATTCAATCTTGATCGTTGGTGGGGGTCCCACCGGTGTCGAACTAGCGGCTGAGATTGCAACCGATTTTCCACACATAAAAATCACTCTAGTTCACGAGGGTTCTAGATTGCTCGAGTTTATAGGTCCGAAAGCGGCCGAAAAGACATTAGAATGGCTTCGATCGAAGAAAGTTGAAGTCAAATTGAGACAGACAGTTGATCTCAACAATTACTCGGAAGGAACAAAATCGTACTTGACTTCATCTGGCGAAACTATAAAAGCCGATCGTCTTTTCGTGTGCACGGGAAAACCAGTGGGGTCCGCGTGGCTTAAGGATACATTTTTGAAGGAAAGCATAGATTTTTTGGGAAGGTTGAAGGTCGATGAGAATATGAGAGTTAAGGGTTATAAAAATGTTTTCGCTGTTGGAGACATTGCGGATGTTAAGGTACGTGCGTGATGAACATCGTCATTTATTTTATAGGATGCAATATATATATATATATATTTTTTTTTATCTTTAATTTCTTATGTAATGATGAGAATTCTTGATTTAATTAAGAGTAAATACATTGCTTTACAGGAAATTAAGCAGGGGTACTCTGCTCAAAAACATGCTTTGATTGCTGCGAAAAACCTGAAACTGTTGCTGAGTGGAGGGAAGGAAAATAAAATGGTGAGTTATAAGCCGCGTTCGTTAAAAGTGATTGTTTCTTTGGGGAGACAAGATGCCGTGGCTCAGTTCCGATTGACAACGTTAATCGGATTAGTTCCTGGTTTGATAAAATCCAAGGATTTATTCGTGGGGAAAACGAGGAAGCAGTTGGGGCTCGATCCACGCGTTGTTGATTATTGAGGCTCGATTTTATTGGGAAATTATATAT